TTTTTTTTTTTTTTCTAATTTAGAATTAGTGAGGGTGCATTACCAGTGGCTTTATGTGAACCATTACAGAGAGGAAACGGTCTTAAGAGAGATGTAGGTGGGGGTGGGGGGGAGCAAGGAAGCAATAAAGAAAGAGAAATAAAGGGAGAGAGAAAGAGATTGCAGGGGGTGGGCAAAGAGAAAGCAAACATGTGAGTGTAAAGGGTTTGTAAGGATTTGGGGGTGTAACTAGTGAGGGTGGAGTATGCATTTATGTGTTACCTTTAGCCAGAGTACTGAGCCTCATGATTATCTCGTCTATTGTGCAAATTCAGGGAAGCAGTAGTTTCCCTAGAGAGTTGAGCTCCTCAGTGACTTAACTTCAGTCAGTTTTAAGATAAGCTGGGTAAGTAAATAACTTTAAAAAATTTTTGATGACCAGAAATTCATGTCATTATCAATCATTCATTTAATTATAAAATTCATCCTAACATATTAGTAAAATATAAGAATCTCAAGATAACTGAAGAAATAAATTCATCAGGTCAATCAGGAGTATAAAACTCCTGAGTCAATATAATTCATGTATCAAATGGTTTTATTTCAAGTCTCCGCTCAACATTTCATAGGAAACTGAGTTAGTGGCAACTGTTTTCCTCAGCCATTGGAACATATTTTGTCACAATGTAGAGAGTTCTCTATTCTGGGCAGGAAGGAATGGATTAATTGGCAACTAAGAGGCTCCATCTCTGATTACATGACAATAGCTGTGACCCTGGATAACTTGCTTAACCTCTCTGTGCTCCTACATTCTCATCCGCAATGAGACCACAACACTGTCTTTCTCACCTGCCTCATATTACTGTTAATACAGAAGTGAGGTTTTAGTTGTGGGAGTTGGAGAAGTTAAGCCCCTGAACAAAACGCAAGTTTTTATGGATCTGCACAAACATACACTATTCATGATCATGAATACATAATGCGCACTGTGTTGAATGAGCTGTAGGTGTTTTGTGCTTTGAATGCATTTGCCTGGAGATCTCAGCCTGTAACTGCATATAATAGGTGTCCTCTGTGGGATGTAACCTAGGTGACACTCTGCACATTAAGCTGCACCTGTGCCCTGGTGGAGAGAAAGCGTTGACAGATCAACATATACCCAGGTTGAGAGAACAGAGGCAAGAGATCACAACACCAAAGCCTGTCTGCCCATCAAAGCCAGACCAAAATGCTACTTCCCTCACAGAGCCTGCCAGGGCTCCTCTCTCCAGAAGGAATTACTTTCTTCCATATCTGGAATCACACCGTATTAGCATAGCCCCAAACTTCATGTACCTATGCCAGGCCTGCAGCATATTCAGATGGCACCAAATAAATAGGACTCCAGCCCCTTCTGAAGTCTGCAACCTTGATTCCACAGCTCTGACCCTGACCCTGAGCCATCCCTCAGATTGGATTACACCTTGTTTGTCTTCTCCTGGTTTTCAACTTCGAACTAAGTCAGTACATAGTAGCACTTTCTACTTGCTAGGATTGTGCTAAATAATGGGTATACCCATGGCCAGCAATTCATGTCTTTTGGTTACGTGAATATTAGCATTTAATGGGACAATAGAAAAACAATTCCAATCTTCAGACTGAAGAATGCACAGAGAAATTTCCAGAAAAGGTGATGTCCATTGTGACCCTTACAGGCTGAAAACAGGTTTGGGGGGGGGGGATGCAGAATGTTCTAAGCAGCTCTTTCTTTGGGTGTTTTCCATTTCCAGCTTTGCCTTGTGTTGGGCAGCTTTGCACCTGATGCTGAGTGTTGCCATCTCACCTTCAGCTCTCACCCCATCCCCTCTGCCTCTTATCACCTGCACGGATTGGTCCAGCATCGCCGTCCCTTCTTCCTTTTGACCCTTAAGGTGATTGCTTTTTCCTAGCCTGCTAAATGGCTACCAACCTGTGTCAATGCTGCTTTTACATGTAATTTTTATCACAGTTATTTGATT